ATTTATGATAGCCAGGTCGCTTCTGAAAAAGTGGGGCCTTACTTGGTGAAATACAAAATAGTAGCAAAGAGAGTAAAAGTGGGAATCAAGCAATAGTCCCGGCTCGGTTGGAGGCCGAGGAATATAAGCTGATGCGCAGGCCGGGAGAGGTGCCTCTGGCACCCACGGTGAGATGCGAGATGAGCCGAATGTTTATCTCTCCTCTATCTCTCTCGGCAAAGCGTGTCCACCGTGTGCCCCATGGTCAATGTTTACTGCGACCACGGAGGACGGCGAATCTGCCGGTCACGCCGCGTTAGCGTAACGGGCGCTTCGTCTTCCTCCGCCGGTCCTCCTCGCACCGATCGATGCCCCCTCGTCCGTGCCACCGTTCGCTTGCACTCAGAGCGGGGACGGCTCGCGATGGGAGGCTTAGTGGCGCCAGCGGAGAGTGCATTGCGCCGAGAAAGCTCGTGGCCCAGGTCCGATGGCTGTTCGCGGTTAGCGCGAGTCAACAACAAGTCAAAGTGCTTCGCCTGCTCCGATCATTGTCTCCCGTTTACAGCCGCTGAGCGAGTGGTGGACATTCTGCATTCCTCTGGCGGGGGCGAGTCTACTCACAGGACAAATAATCTTGACTTTCCCACAAAGCGGTAGCTATGTTATCGACCTCCGGAGAGGTGATGAGGTGAGTCAACCCCGCAACCAGGAATGTGAATTCGCAACCTTCCGCGCGCGGGCCGCTCGCTCTGCCGCTGAGAAGCCGGCCGGCATCGGTGAACAGGGGCCCGCTCCTGGGCGGGCCCCTGTTCACCGATGCGGACTGACCAGCGTGGTGAAGTATGGTCAAGCAACCCCCGGCAAATCAACACGGTGGAGCGTAGCCTTCAACCGGCAGTGGATCGACTCAGGGTTCTGAGTTATTATTAGAGTTGTGAATTATTATTATTATTGTGTTCTTTATTCGGAGCGGGCGGCCGGTGTCTTTGAGGGGTTAAAGGAGAGGGGCACGACAAACGAGAGCCCCGCACACCAAATCCCAGGTCCAATCGCTGTGACCACGTGACCCTTGAACTCGTCAGTGTAAGGCCACACAGAGAGGTGGAACACGCAAATCCCGCGCGTCCTGTGAGATCTAAGCAGGGGATACGTTTTGATGTGTGATTTACATGAAGAAGCTGTAATCATTAAAATAAAAATTATTATCTAGTCTGTATTTGCAGGGCCCTTTGATTGTTGTTAACACTCCGTGTGCGTGCGTGCGTGTGTATATTTGAGGAAGCGGTAGTGTAGCGGTTAGCGCCTTGTGCTGCGAAACTGGCGACCCGAGTTCGATTCCCGCTCACGGTCAACACCAGTGACGTTTATCTAAACCGGTCCTGGGCCTCCCCAAGGTCTACTCAACCTCGGATGAGTATCTGGTGCGGTGCGTAAAAACATCGCCACTAGGGAGACAAAGGTGGCCGTGCGTGGTGCTGGCCACCCACCTCCTCGTGTGCCATTCCGGCCTTCATAGGTGCTGCTCGCTAACAGCACTTGCCCCAACAGTCTGTCAAGGCTACACGGGGGATCTTTGTAATTTGACCCTGGTTGTGACCCTGGTTAGCGTCGTTGCCTTGCAGCGGACCTGTCCCAGCCGCGTAAGAGAGGTGATGATTCGCTGGCCCATGTTTTGAGGCGGTGTCTATCCATGACGGGTGAGAAGAGCTGACAGTCTTCGTGCTGCTCCCACAGCAAGAGGGCACCGACTCCTCACCCATATGCCTTTGCATGGCATGTGACCACATTCTCATGATGTGTAGCTGGGCATGCCGATTGCATCTCACAATCGTTGAGCAACCACTGAGAAGCTGAAAAGCAGCCAGGCGGTGAGCCGGTGCTACCAACAACTGTCCAAGCTCTACAGTCCCCTGTATATAAATATGTTGTCAGTCAATCAATGAACGTTTATACATGTGGGAGGAACCCGGGGATCCCGCGGAAAGTCCACGAGTGCAAGGAAGCAGCAACACTGATCCCACACGGAGGGTTTTGGATTATGACATTGAGCGTTTTTCTGTACCGCCTTCTCCTGATCCGCCAAGGTATGCCACCTCCTGGACCCCTCACGGGGAGTTTCACAACATTCCGTGAGCGATCCACCAACCCCCGCCGCCACCACGGTCCGGCGTGTATCTTCGAAGCTCTCAGCCTTGTCTCGACCACCAACTCAAGAGTGTGTGCTGTTTGGGGCCAAGCGACTCAAAGAGCTGGAGAAATTGTGGCTCATGTCAAGAGGATGCGGCGGAGAGGGTTGTGCTGTGCAGGTGTCCCCTCGATTCACGAACGCAGTTGGACCCAAACGATGTGGACGAAATTTCACGAGGGCACGCGCCGCGAGATCATCGGACAGAGAAGCCGCCCAGGAGGCCGCGTCATCAATCGGTCTCATCGTCACGGTGTCATCGTCACGGTGTCATCGTCACGGTGTCATCGTCACGGTGGCATCGTCACGGTGTCATCGTCACGGTGTCATCGTCACGGTCTCATCGTCACGGTCTCATCGTCACGGTGGCATCGTCACGGTGTCATCGTCACGGTGTCATCGTCACGGTCTCATCGTCACGGTCTCATCGTCACAGTGTCATCAATCGGTGTCATCGTCATGGTGTCACCTGCAGTGGCAGCAGCGACGCCTCCACGTCACCCCCCCACCCCCCCCCCCCCGGGGCATCCCAACACGCAGCACGATCTTTTGGTGAATTCCCCCGAAAAGGGTCAAATGTATTTGTTCTGAATTAATTAGCACTCAACCGTTTGAAGTATCATTTGTGTGCGAATGACTGCCCGAAACACATTCCTACAATGGGGTTTGTTTGCATTCAATTAATGTGAAAAGCCGTTCCGATTTACGACATTTCGTTTTACGCGTGGGTTGTTTTTTCTTTGTTACAGAACGTATCCCTCTCGTAAATCGAGGGATACATGTACACCCATTGGTGGAAATTGGCCGGAACGCCCCGGGACGCCGTGGTGGGAGTAAACATTTTGAACCCTGTGAGTGCGTTCCAGAAGGAATCAATGACTCATTTTATATTTATTTGACTCAGAGATAGACCCCTAGATGAACAGAGAGACCCACAGACACGCACAGAGACCCACGGACACGGACAGACACCCAGACACTTTCAGAGACCCACAGACACGTGCAGAGACCCACAGACACGTGCAGAGACCCACAGACACGGAGCTAAGCTCCTCTCCCCCCTCCTCTTCAGATCTAGTGGGGTGCGAGGTGGGGGGTGAAGTATGACTGGCCCCAGTCAATGCTTCCCAGCCCTGTGCACGCTGTTGCGTTCTACAACGCGGCGGTGGTCACGTGGCGTGCGGGCGATGTGCACGGGAGTCGCCGTCCCCGATGTGGCTGAGCGGCGTCCCGACCTCGTGACGTCGAGACGTCACGTCGAGACGTCACGTAGAGACGTCACGTTGAGACGTCACGTCAAGACGTCACGAGGCTCTTTGTTGTCCAGCCTGCAGCGTTCTCCTGCCGAGATGGCGTGTCTCGGTATTTACACAAACGCATTGCATTTGAGAAGAATCACAACAACATATGGCTTGGTGATGGAGCTGCCGCTGCTGCTGCTGCTGCTTTGGCTGCTTTGGCTGCTGCTGCTGCATTGGCCGCGGTGCAACAAGCACAAATAGCAAAACAAAACTCAACATTTTCGTCAATACCACCGCGTGTATGTGTGTATGTATGTACGTGTGTTGAACTTCTTTCGCACCGTACGTAGCCAACCACTCTAATTGGGGGGGGGGGACAACAAACTAAACACAAATAGCAGTTCAAAAAATATAGTTTACAATATAGATTTAAGAGTGCATATGGCCTTAAAATAAAACAATATACAGGGTGCTTCAAATAAATGTTAACACTTACATGAGACTAGCGTTTTTAATGGGAGAGGAATGGACAATACACTGTAACATGATAACAAATGTATATTAATAGCTTAACAAAGTTTAAAGGGTCTCCACTTGTTCGCCATCGTTGTCAACGCGTGCCTGGAATCTTCTCCAGGTGGTCTACAGAGCCCGGAGGCAGCAGCACATGTCACGTGGTATTGTTGCAAATTCTCAAAAGTGTTAAAAATGCTTTGAAGCACCCTGTATAATAGGCGACATTTTGTACAATGGCTATTCCTCATAGCACGTATATGTGGCGATTATATATTGCGTTTTTTTATATTTAAGGGCAGTGTTATTGACGATTGCATTGAGAGGTGAGTGAGTAACGTGATGCATTTATTTGTGCCAAGGAATTGTGTCTACGTAGCAGCTGCCTGCTGTTGAGAAGGGGCGTTTAAGAGTGGAACACCCTTTGTGTGTGTGTGTGGTGAGCGGTGGTGTGGTGGTTAGCGCACTGCGCTACGAACCCAGCGAGACCAAGTTCGATTCTCATTCACAGACAACATCAGTGACGAATATCTGATCCGGTCCTGGGTCTCCCTTGTGTCGACTCAGAGGCGCCGCGGTGGCTAGGAGATGTTAACTACCTCGCCTGCTCTACAGGAGGTCGTGGGTTCGATCCCGAGCCTAACGTCTGCTGTATATTTGGAGTTTTGCATGTCTCTCTCTCTCTCTCCCCGTGGCTGCGTGGATTTTTCTCCGGGTTCTACGGTGTTTTCACATTTATAAAACACGCGTTTAGAGTATGTGCTTGATATAAATGTCCACGTGACAAGCCACTTCGTCGGGGCTATCATTTGTGGCCAGGTGGCTTCTGAATAAGAGCCGCAAGGCTCCGTGGGCCTCACCTGGCCGTTTGTTCTGGTTAAGTTGTAAAATGAGCACCGGATACAGGTCGAGTAAACATCGCCACTGGCGAGACAAAGGCGACCGGGCTGCGGCGGCTACTACCTGTGGCACTCGCCGACAGCACTCGCCCCAACAGTCTGTTAAGGCTACGCGGACGTGCGGGGTTTTTGACGGTGTGTGGGGTGGGTGGGCGGGGGGTCGTCTTTGTCTTCGTGGTGCAGGTGCCGGCAGTGGCCGCGGGCCCTGACGAGGGCTGGCAGGTCTACAGCTCGGCCCAGGACGCCGAGGGCCGCTGCATCTGCACCGTGGTGGCGCCGCAGCTGCGGATGTGTTCGCGAGACGCGCGCATGCGGCAGCTGAGACAGCTCCTCGACAAGGTGAATCGGCGGCGGCGGCGGCGGCGGCAGGGACATGAGCCGCAGCTGCGGCAGAAGCAGCTACAGCAGCTGCTTCTGCAGCTGCAGCAACAGTTGCAGCAGCAGCTGCAGAAGCAGCAGCTACATCAGCATCATTGCCAGCATGAGCAGCAACTACAGCAGCTATACATCAGCATCATTGGCAGCATGAGCAGCAGCTACATCAGCATCTGCAGCAGCGTAAACATCATTACCATCCGCCGTAGCAGCAGCGGTATCAGCAGCGGTATCAGCAGCCGTCGAAGCAGCAAATCATCATTGGATTAAACGTCATCACATCAGCAGCAGAAGGAAGCAACGCTTCTCATTAGCCCCAGCAGCAGCGGAGGCGTGGACAGCTGCAGTGGCACGGGCAGGCAGCTCACCTCTGTAATGGAGGTGAATGAGTTAATAAATCGCGGGGTATTTCCAGTGACCTCGCCAGCTCGTTACGCGGCTCTGGATCGCCTGATGAATCCCCTTGCAGTGCTCCGGGCTGGCAGATCCTCCACACGCTGCACAGATACCCATTTTGTGGATGGATTTTGTTGCTCATCGGAGAGCAATGAAACGCAGACGCAGCTTCCTGAACTGAATCAGAAGAGGCTTTGCTTTAAAATCATTGTGTGCGTGTCCTCTCACCTTCAACTCACATTCACACTCTCTCCTGTGTGTGACCTCTCACCTTCAACTCACATCCACTCTCTCCTGTGTGTGACCTCTCACCTTCAACTCACATTCACTCTCCTGTGTGTGACCTCTCACCTTCAACTCACATTCACTCTCTCTCCTGTGTGTGACCTCTCACCTTCAACTCACATTCACTCTCTCTCCTGTGTGTGACCTCTCACCTTCAACTCACATTCACTCTCTCCTGTGTGTGACCTCTCACCTTCAACTCACATTCACTCTCTCTCCTGTGTGTGACCTCTCACCTTCAACTCACATTCACTCTCTCCTGTGTGTGACCTCTCACCTTCAACTCACATTCACTCTCTGTCCTGTGTGTGACCTCTCACCTTCAACTCACATTCACTCTCTCTCCTGTGTGTGACCTCTCACCTTCAACTCACATTCACTCTCTCTCCTGTGTGTGACCTCTCACCTTCAACTCACATTCACTCTCTCCTGTGTGTGACCTCTCGCCTTCAACTCACATTCACTCTCTCTCCTGTATGTGACCTCTCACCTTCAACTCACATTCACTCTCTCCTGTGTGTGACCTCTCACCTTCAACTCACATTCACTCTCCTGTGTGTGACCTCTCACCTACAACTCACATTCACTCTCTCTCCTGTGTGTGACCTCTCATCTTCAACTCACATTCACTCTCTCTCCTGTGTGTGACCTCTCACCTTCAACTCACATTCACTCTCTCCTGTGTGTGACCTCTCACCTACAACTCACATTCACTCTCTCTCCTGTGTGTGACCTCTCACCTTCAACTCACATTCACACTCTCTCCTGTGTGACCTCTCACCTTCAGCTCACATTCACTCTCTCCTGTGTGTGACCTCTCACCGTCAAATCACATTCACACTCTCTCCTGTATGTGACCTCTCACCTTCAACTCACATTCACTCTCTCTCCTGTGTGTGACCTCTCACCTTCAACTCACATTCACTCTCTCTCCTGTGTGTGACCTCTCACTGCAGAGCCGTAGTGTAGCGGTGAGCGCTACGCCGTGCTACGAACCTGGCTACCCGAGTTAGATTCCCGCTCATGGTCAACACCAGTGACGATTATTTGAACCGTTTCTGGGCCTCCCCTTGGTCGACTCAGCCTCAAATGAGTACTTGGTGCGGTGTGTAAACATCGCTACTGGGGAGACAAAGGCGGCCGGGCGCGACGGTGGCCACCCACCCCCTCGTGTACCGTCCTAGCCCTTCATAGGTGCCGCTCGCTAACAGTACTTGCCCCAACAGTCCGTCAAGGCTACACGGGGGATCTTTATCTTTGTTCTCTCACCTTCAACACACATTTGCACTCTCTCCTGTTTAAATTAAATATCTCTATACATTTGATGAATTCTGACGCAGGATTAACAATAATAATAATAGCAGCCGCGGTAGTAATTTCAGCCCGCAATGCGCTGCGCAGCGAATCCGCTCACTCTCGACAAGAGGCGGAGAGCGATCTCAGAGGCACGAGAGGAACCCACAGGGAAAACCGGAAAGGCAGCCCAGGCGGCCCGAAGCTCTGCGGTCCTCTATATATAAAGGTGGTATTGGCCAATGAATGAATGAGTCAGAATCAGTGATATTTATTGATACTGGAGGAATCCGAAGAGCTATGAAGCTCTTTTTCACAGATATCCAGTAGGGGTGGGTTAGAACGTTACAACAACAACCGATACAAAAACACGACAGTGGTGCAAAGTATTGGAAAGGTGATCAAATTGTTTAACAATATACACAAATAAAATACACAAATAATATACACAAATAAAACGAAAACATTTGTTTTTATCTTATCAGGTACCCACTGAGATATTTGCTTATTTTTCAGAAGCGACCTGGCCACAAATGTTAGCCGTTCATACAAGTGTCAGGAAACCGGAGCACCCGGGAAAAACCCCAGGCATGCGAGGGGGAAACACTCGATCTCATACAGACGGAACAGATGGGAGTCCACATTTTTGCTCTACCGCCTTCTGTGGCGATGCAGGGCAGGGGCTCCTTGCTCGGCGCCCACGGGAAGGCAGTTCCGTGACATCTCTGTGTGATCCACCAACCCCCACCGCTGCCTCCAAGGTGCTGGGTTCCAGGCTGCCCCACGTGTGCTTGTCTAAACGCCTGGCCAACGGAGAGTGCCCGTCCATCACGTCCCATCGCAACCATTTAAATGCTCTCCTGGAATCTAACAATTCAAGGGGAACACCTCCCCCCCCCCAAGTGGAACCTGCCTGAACGTAGTCATTCGCCTGCCACTGGGGGTCGATGTTGGTGTGTGGGGTTTTTTTTGTCTTTCCCGGTGAAGTAATGTGTGAGTATTTTAACACAAGTGTGCACCATGAAACCAGGCATGTACACATGCAACTGAACATATATCCGTGTGTGTCCGTGCAGGTTGTTATGTTATCACGAACACTACAAAGCCGTTTTAACACGTAGACTTTCACGACCAAGAATATTCATAATGAAGGTTCTTTTGGCTTCGATCGTGTAAATATAAATGTGTTGTTAACCCGCCACCGCCCGACACAGCCAATTAGGAAAGGTTTGTCACGTAAACAAAATTAGTAACTAGTTCAGCACACACCGGTAGTGTTTTGGAGAGTAAAACCACAACGACATTTTCAAGTCTGGCAAAATGACAACTGTGGCTGTCGCCTGCTGATGCTGGTTGTTGTAATTACTGGCGAGACGTCACGGTACTAGAATGGTAAATGTTGTTGTGGGTTTACTCTCCAACACACAACCGCTGTGCTGCTGTACTCGTAACGAATTGTCACGTTTTGTTAACGTGACAAACTTTACTAATTGGCCGTGTCGGGTGGTGTCGGGTTCAACGACACATATATATTATATTTCATATTCTTAGCTCTTTCGGTAAAGTCACGTTGAAGGGAAACAATTAAATAATAATATATATATAATAAAATTCTCACGACGTTTCGACCATAACACAAACGGTCATCATCAGGTGTGAAAACCCAACGGCAAGAAACATTTGAAAGAAGTGGCGGTTTGTATTTATATTCACACGATCTGACCCAATAAAAAAAAACCTCTATTATTGATGGCCTGATGAAGGTGGTGGTAATTACCTGCGAAACGTCGTTCTGAAATTGTAAATGTTGTGAGTTGAATAGTTTCGGTGGTTTTAGTTTAGCCTATTTTGCCGGAGACGGAGGCCCCTCCCCCCCCCCGAGGGCCCCCCCAGGGCACCCCCAACCCCCCCCCCCCGAGGCCCCCCCAGGGCACCGCCACCAACGACCTCCCCCCGACCTCCTGGGCACGCAGGTCCACAACATGTCGCAGACGCTGGAGGCGCTGAGCGAGAAGGCGCAGAGCGGCCTGGTGTACGTGCGTCACGTGGAGACGAAGATGAAGGGCCTCGAAAGCAGCTTCCGTCAGGTGGAGCAGAGCAGGAAAGCGGTGCTGACCGGCAAGCCGCAGGTCAGAGCCCGCCGCATTCCTCGTCTCGCCATCGTCCTCTTTGTTGTTGCTCAGCGCCAATGTCTGCAGGCGACCGAGCGCGATGCGAGCGCGGATGAAACGCGGTCGGGGTTGGGTAAAAGCGGAGGACGGCGTTGGCGGCGACGCGAGAAGGAAGAGTGAAAGTGCGAGGGGGCTTTGTCGAGGCTACAGTCCCCACGGCCCACCCATCACCACCACCAACACCACCATCACCATCACCACCGCTAACACCACCACGACCACTACCTCCATCACGACCACTACCTCCATCACGACCACGACCACCACGATCACTACCACCACTACCACCACCAACACCACCACCACCATCACCACCACCAACACCATCACCACCACCACTACCTCCATCACGACCACTACCTCCATCACGACCACTACCTCCATCACGACCACGACCACCAAGATCACTACCACCACTACCACCACCAACACCACCACCAATACCACCACGACCACTACCTCCATCACGACCACCACGATCACTACCACCACTACCACCACCACGACACTGCGTCTCTCCGTTTTCCCAGTTTACTTCCACCCTATTCGAATAACAAATTAACTCGCTCCACGCTGCACGCGCCCGATGATTGTTCAACGCGTCCCACGTGACGCGCTTAAGCCAACTCGCGCAGTCTCACAACAACGAGCGGAGCGCCAGGTGGCTAAAGCACAGCAGGTTGGCACAGTAGGGGGCACATGTGGTGCATCAGCCACTCATCTTAGTCAGTCGACCCGTGGCACCACCTGGGTCTGCCCCGTGACCTCCTGCCAGCGGGCGTTCGACACTTCACGTGGCCACAACGTGCACATGGCCTGGCACGAGCGTCGTGGTGACGTCACCGCCACTTAGTGGCGAATGGCGGTTGTTGTTGAGTGTGTGTGTGTACACGTGTTGTGTGTGTACACGTGTCTTGCGTGCGTGTGTACACGTGTTGTGTGTGTACACGTGTTGTGTGTGTACACGTGTCTTGCGTGCGTGTGTACACGTGTTGTGTGTGTACACGTGTTCAGCGGGGAGCGGTAGTGCAACGGTTAGCGCGCTGCGCTACGAACCCGGCGACCCAAGTTCTATTCCCGCTCACGACCAACACCAGTGACGATTATCTGAATCGATTCTGGGCCTCCCCTACGTTGACTCAGCCTCAACTGTATACCTGGTGCGGTGTGTAAACATCGTCACTGGGGAGACAAAGGCGGCCGGGAGTGGTGCTGGCCACCCACCCCCTCGTGTTCCGTAGGTGCTCGCTAACAGCACTTGCAACAACAGGCTGTTAAGGCTATGCGGGGGATCTTTGTCCACGTGACGCTGACAGTGTTAATTGCTTAGCGTGTCACGTGGGATGCGTTTAACAATCATCAGGCGCGTGGAACGGCTTAATTTGAATGGAGAGGAGTACATTGGTAAGAGGGTTGCCGCGGTGGCTAGGAGATGTTAACTCCTTCACCTGGTATACAAAAGAGCGTGGGTTCGATCCCGAATCAGACGCCTGCTGCTGCTGTATATTTGGAGTCTGCGTGTCTCTCTCCCCGTGGCCGCGTGGATTCTTATACGGGGCCTCCGGTTTTCCCCTCCACGTTTATAATCAACTTCACGCCGCGTTTAGAGTGTTTGGCTGCTGTCAATGATAAGCCACTTCTAGTTGAGCTAATCGTCCGTGATAGGCAGGTCGCCTCTATAAATGAGCTACATAGCTCAGTGGGTCTTACCTGGTAAACATACAATAATGAAATGAGAGGAATTCCGTTCATCTCGGCGAACTCGGACGTCGTTAACAGATACGATGGCAAACGCTTAATCAGCACGACTGATTTGCTGATTTTCTGAATCGAAAAAAAGGCGAAATCATCAAATGTAAGTTTCGTCACAAAACATCACAACAACGCCTGTGGAATGATATTCATGAAAGGGTCGTCGCAATTATTTTTAAATTTGGTGCTGAATTATTATTATCATTGCAACCGCAGCTGACTTATTCTTACAAGCGAGACACAAATAACATTTTGCGTGAGGATAAGTTTATACATTTTCTGTTCTTTGGGTCTTTTGGTAAAGGCACGTAAATAGAATTTTTTTTCAAATAATACAATTCTTTTTTTTCTATCTACGTGCCTTTACCGAAAGACCCAAAGAATGTATTCCTGCAGTCACGAAAGCTTTAAATCAAGATTAAAATTTCTGTTGCAGAACTTGCGCTTGAAACGTTAAAGGCCGACGACGTTGGCTGAGCTCTCTGGCAAGGCGTTGCACCACTATTGCAGAGACGAGTTGTGCCTGCGACATTAACTGAATACATTAACAAAGAGGTGAAAGCCTTCACCACGAATTGGCAATTTGTTAGAACGCTGTAGAGCTTTGTGATGGTATAAAACGCCGCTTATCGGGGCATACTCCGCATAGCTCTCCAATTCACAGATATTTAAACGAAACACACAAAAAATCCTGTCATAATTTTCAACAAGACACCTGCCGTACGGTTTTTTTCTTGCAATAATTAATATTTTTGCATTTAATTTCCACGTTTATGTAACGTTTCACTAAGGAATTGCCAACAGCATAATTACTCTAATCCATTTAAGCCGAACAGATGTAGCCATGACACAAACAATAACCACAGCTGCTAGTTACACACTAAGTGGCAATTCCACATGTTTGTGATGGCTTACCTCCTACCTTAAACAAAACGGCAAAAAAAACTTATCTCTCCTCTGCCCTGAGTGTTGTGGCATCAATAACACAAGAGGGGTGCTGGGGTCTGGCCTGGTGCTAGGGGGTACTGGGGTCTGGCCTGGTGCTAGAGGGTACTGGGGTCTGGCCTGGTGCTAGGGGGTGCTGGGATCTGGCCTGGTGCTAGAGGGTGCTGGGGTCTGGCCTGGTGCTAGAGGGTACTGGGGTCTGGCCTGATGCTAGGGGGTGCTGGGGTCTGGCCTGATGCTAGGGGGTGCTGGGGTCTGGCCTGGTGCTAGGGGGTGCTGGGGTCTGGCCTGATGCTAGGGGGTGCGGGGGTCTGGCCTGGTGCTAGGGGGTGCTGGGATCTGGCCTGGTGCTAGAGGGTGCTGGGGTCTGGCCTGGTGCTAGAGGGTGCTGGGGTCTGGCCTGGTGCTAGGGGGTACTGGGGTCTGGCCTGGTGCTAGGGGATGCTGGGGTCTGGCCTGGTGCTAGAGGGTACTGGGGTCTGGCCTGGTGCTAGGGGGTGCTGGGATCTGGCCTGGTGCTAGAGGGTACTGGGGTCTGGCCTGATGCTAGGGGGTGCTGGGGTCTGGCCTGATGCTAGGGGGTGCTGGGGTCTGGCCTGGTGCTAGGGGGTGCTGGGGTCTGGCCTGGTGCTAGGGGGTGCTGGGATCTGGCCTGGTGCTAGAGGGTGCTGGGGTCTGGCCTGGTGCTAGAGGGTGCTGGGGTCTGGCCTGGTGCTAGGGGGTACTGGGGTCTGGCCTGGTGCTAGGGGGTACTGGGATCTGGCCTGGTGCTAGGGGGTGCTGGGGTCTGGCCTGGTGCTAGGGAATGCTGGGGTCTGGCCTGGTGCTAGGGGGTGCTGGGGTCTGGCCTGGTGCTAGGGGGTACTGGGGTCTGGCCTGGTGCTAGGGGGAACTGGAGTCTGGCCTGGTGCTAGGGGGTGCTGGGGTCTGGCCTGGTGCTAGAGGGTGCTGGGGTCTGGCCTGGTGCTAGAGGGTGCTGGGGTCTGGCCTGGTGCTAGGGGGTACTGGGGTCTGGCCTGGTGCTAGGGGGTACTGGAGTCTGGCCTGGTGCTAAGGGGGTACTGGAGTCTGGCCTGGTGCAAGAGGGTGCTGGGGTCTGGCCTGGTGCTAGAGGGTACTGGGGTCTGGCCTGGTGCTAAGGGGGTACTGGGGTCTGGCCTGGTGCTAGAGCGTACTGGAGTCTGGCCTGGTGCTAGGGGGTGCTGGGGTCTGGCCTGGTGCTAGAGGGTACTGGAGTCTGACCTGGTGCTAGGGGGTGCTGGAGTCTGGCCTGGTGCTAAGTGGGTGCTGGGGTCTGGCCTGGTGCTAGGGGGTGCTGGGGTCTGGCCTGGTGCTAGGGGGTGCTGGGGTCTGGCCTGGTGCTAGAGGGTACTGGAGTCTGGCCTGGTGCTAGGGGGTGCTGGGGTCTGGCCTGGTGCTAGGGGGTACTGGAGTCTGGCCTGGTGCTAGAGAGTGCTGGGGTCTGGCCTGGTGCTAGGGGGTACTGGAGTCTGGCCTGGTGCTAGAGGGTGCTGGGGTCTGAGCCTGGTGCTAGAGGGTACTGGGGTCTGGCCTGGTGCTAGGGGGTGCTGGTGTCTGGCCTGGTACTAAGGGGGTGCTGGGGTCTGGCCTGGTGCTAGGGGGTGCTGGGATCTGGCCTGGTGCTAGGGGGTGCTGGAGTCTGGCCTGGTGCTAAGGGGGTGCTGGGGTCTGGCCTGGTGCTAGGGGGTGCTGGGGTCTGGCCTGGTGCTGGGGGGTGCTGGGGTCTGGCCTGGTGCTAGGGGGTACTGGAGTCTGGCCTGGTGCTAGAGGGTGCTGGGGTCTGGCCTGGTGCTAGGGGGTACTGGAGTCTGGCCTGGTGCTAGAGGGTGCTGGGGTCTGGCCTGGTGCTAGGGGGTACTGGAGTCTGGCCTGGTGCTAGGGGGTACTGGAGTCTGGCCTGGTGCTAGGGGGTACTGGAGTCTGGCCTGGTGCTATGGGGGTGCTGGGGTCTGGCCTGGTGCTAGGGGGTGCTGGGGTCTGGCCTGGTGCTAGGGGGTGCTGGTGTCTGGCCTGGTGCTAGGGGATGCTGGGGTCTGGCCTGGTGCTAGAGGGTGCTGGGGTCTGGCCTGGTGCTAGGGGGTACTGGTGTCTGGCCTGATGCTAGGGGATGCTGGGGTCTGGCCTGGTTCTAGAGGGTGCTAGGGTCTGGCCTGGTGCTAGGGGGTGCTGGGGTCTGGCGTGGTGCTAGGGGGTACTGGTGTCTGGCCTGGTGCTAGGGGATGCTGGAGTCTGGCCTGGTGCTAGGGGGTGCTGGGGTCTGGCCTGGTGCTAGGGGGTGCTGGGGTCTGGCCTGGTGCTAGGGGGTACTGGGGTCTGGCCTGGTGCTAGGGGGTACTGGGGTCTGGCCTGGTGCTAGAGGGTGCTGGGGTCTGGCCTGGTGCTAGAGGGTGCTGGGGTCTGGCCTGGTGCTAGGGGGTGCTGGGGTCTGGCGTGGTGCTAGGGGGTGCTGGGGTCTGGCCTGGTGCTAGGGGGTGCTGGAGTCTGGCCTGGTGCTAGGGGGTGCTGGGGTCTGGCCTGGTGCTAGGGGGTGCTGGGGTCTGGCCTGGTGCTAGGGGGTACTGGGGTCTGGCCTGGTGCTAGGGGGTGCTGGGGTCTGGCCTGGTGCCCAAGTCCACTCTCCTCCTTAGTGGTGAACCACTGCTGTGGTGGCCCCTCACACGACAGCTTCACTGGCCCCCCCTAACTGAGAGGAGCAAGAGCTGGGCCAGATCAGTCAGATTCCATTTGTCTACCACAGAGTCACAATGATGATAATTCACTATGTTCCTGGGTAGTAAGTGTTATTTTATAATTGCTTATGCCTCAAAAGTATAGAAAATGGCTATTTTTCTCCACAAACTTTGCTTTTGTGACCAGGACTTTACGTGAAGGAATGACACAAATGCACACATTTTCTCATTGACAATAGGTACATTTAAAAATATCACTGTCCTGTGTTATATAATGATTCATTATTGATATTTCAGTCACGTAAAAAAAATTGATCATGGATGCCTTCGTGTTAAATGTGATGAGGATGATGATGATGAGTATAATCAGAGATTTGTAACCGTCACCTCAAAACTCTGGAAATCGTAGCAGCGCATCACCTTTCAAATATCGCCAAATACATGCATGCGGAGATTACGTACACAAAACATGTCGCGTGTTTTTTGTTGTTGTGCATTGCTTGTGTTTGTTTACTTGTGATCCAGGACAAGAAAGGCTGATTAACGTGAGGGTGAGCGGAAAGGAAGCCCCACGAGAGAGGAATTCTACGACCTTCAGAGGAGGCACGTTTTCGAGACACCGCAATGAGAACCGCCGCCGGTATCTTGTAAATACTTTGACAAACAAAACAAGAAACTTTCCTCTCTCAAACGAGCCCCAACTGTACCGCTCGCCTGGTGTGGCAGAGCATCAAGCTGGACGAGTCGAGCGGTCGTTCGTCCGTCTGAGGTTCTTTTTTTTATTTTCGGATGTGCCAACTCGTAAGAGACGCCTCGACAAGCAACAGCAAACCCGAGACAATTTTCCGCTCGCCTCGAACGATTAAAACAAACACGTAAGTTTGTCCGTGTCAAACCTCAAACTTTGTTTTTTCTCCAACGGTCATCTACTTATTATTTTAGATGTCGCATCGAACTTCGGATATCTCCGTCCGCTACGCGGCGGAGGAAGTCAACCGGCCGTGGAAGCGTGCGCGGCGCATCGGAGGTCGCCGCAAATTTCACGTTTCGCCGAGTGAAATATTGACGAACGTTTCACGTGAAGAACATCCGGACCGTACGTTCAGAAGATGTCTCTCGAGTTTAAATATCGTTAGTTAACGCTGCTTCAAAAATGATTTCGCCGTACTCTCCATCGTTTCTATGTTGGAGTCCTCAGCTGGTAAAGCGCGAAAGTCACGTCGATATTTTGACAAAGTTTTGAATGAACTCTTGTGAACGGTAATCAACGCACAACATGTAGTTTTTTGAGCTTTAATTTCACATCCTGCAGTTGGCAGTCGAATATCTTGATTACGTTTGGTATCTGTACAGTTCAAATGCTTTTGAGTGTTTATATTAATTGACAGAGTTGTATTGGTTTCACTGTTCAAGGTGATCTGTGTTTACATCTTGAGGCAGTGTTGTTGAGAGGGTGACATTCAGAAACTACTAATCACATCTGATTACTTGAGGTTTCACAGGTAATGTGTAATCCCCATGTGGTAGTGGGGTGACATGCAGATGTTCGCGGTTTGAATCCATCGGCCCACCTTGGTTAATACTGCGGTGCATCTTAATCCTTTCCCATTCCGAGACGTCTGTAAGTGACAGGGAGGGTGTCCGAGACATCTGTAAGTCGCAGGGAGGGTGTCCCCCGTTCACCACTGAATCTCGGAACACGCAAGCGGCTCAACGTTAATTTTAATCAGAGGCGTAGTAGCACCGCTGTTTATTAAAGACGTTGTACTCACCGCACAGGACTGTAGCGACAAGACCACCCTGTATGATAGCTGGCGCCAACCTGTGCCACGCCCTCCCGCGTGGCCTCGTGTGAGCCTAGGTACCGATAAAGTTATTTTTTCCGATTCCGTTTCGATGCGGAACGGGATCGGAAGAAAATGCGATGACGTACGTGTACGTCATCGGAACAGGAAAGGGTTACCCGGTGGACATTAAAGTTTCCATGACGTCACTCGACAAGAGGAGTTACCAATTGTGTCTGCGTCGCGGTCCAAATTTGAAACTTGTTACCCGCAACCTACTCGATCGGGGTTACACATTGCAACACCGCCCACCGCAGGCCGTGCCCGTCTGTGAAACGTGGCGCCTTTCTTCATGGTAGCCTTACGTCATCAGAACGGTGCGAATACCACGTTTAATAATAACGATCTGATTACTTACCCCATGATCCATTCACATACCATATTATTACACGATGAATTGCAGCCTTCTTTGAATCCACTGCTGGATGAAGGTCTTACCATTCCGTAAGTTGGGGATGCTTTTTTTAATTATTTTACTATCCTTCACCGCGCTGGTCAGCGCCTATTGGTGAAGATGGCCCCAGGACGGGTTTGAACATCGCACACCGGTCATGAGAACTGTGGCCAGGAATTGAACTCAGGTGACCGCGTTTATAGTCCAGTGTGAGAGCCACTACTCCACTACTCCATCTCACGGACAGATTGATGGTTGGCCACTGCTGATGTCTTCACGTAAGCGCAGGATGTGTTTTGATCGTTGAAATATACGTCGCTTTGCCCTTGAATCACGCAATTACTCAGATCGGGAGCACACACAGCCACCTCCCCTGCTGGCAGACTGATGCCCGCTCGCAGGCCGGGTAATCAGTACCACTCGTGCCGCACAGGGACAGCTGCCACTGGGAATGCCCCCCGTGAGATGCAAGTGGCTTGTCGCTCATATAAGCGCCCTGACATGCCCCGGCATAATGAGTACTGTGTATCAAACGTAAATCGTGACTATTATCATCGTCACGCGGACTCCTCCGGCCGTCATGCTCGCAGCAACAGCAGCAGCAGCTGCTCTTGGCTGAATACATCGGACCGCCCTGGTTAATACTGCGATGCAGCTCTTGGCTGCTGCCATCGAACAAAGGCGGTGGCCGCCGCATCACGCGGAGCTTTCAGGTGCGCTTCTGGCGGCCGTCTGGAACGCTCTTCCTTCCGATGTTATGAAGCCACTGGAGTTATGCACTTTTCAATGATCATCTAGATTGAAAACTCGTGTCTGTACAGCTGCTTTTTGTGTTTAGTTTGTTGTCCTTCCCCGCGCGTACCTCCACTTAGCACGTCTGGCTAAGTACGACGGTGCTTAAAGACGTTCCACACGCACACAACATCAACATCATCGATGGTTTGGAATTAAACACTTTTGATGAATCACTCGGATAAACAACCCAATTGGAACATGCTGAGTTGTGTGCTATGATTACCAACTAAACCTGGAATTATATAGAAAGGCACTAAATTGAGCTTCAGTAATCTGATTACGGTTATGAACAATTCTATATGGTTTTGACGATGTTAATTAAAAAAAAACATTACAATGATTAAAGCATTTCTGTACAATCATTACCGTACAATGTTTTACCGAAGTCGTTACTTACATTTATTTCCTACAATAAAAGCTGAAGTAACACAAACATCCTCGTGTCACTAGTACGAGTGTGTCATGACTGGACACGTGGTCCCTGGGTGCTTGCTGAGTTTATTTTGATGAAGGGCGCTGCTGGCGCGTGCTCTCTCACTCTCTGACCTCTCTCTCTCGCTCTCTCTCTGTGCCACGAAGAAGGGCCGTTACCCGAAACGTCGCCTATTGTTCACTCTTGTAAGCCACACGGTGTCGTCGACAGGGATTGTGTCGAGTTGCTTTCTTTGTCTCGATCAGTGCACAGATGCCCAGTAACCAAATGCACAGAATGAGGAATTCAATTTAATTCAGAGGAAGCATCATCACCATCATGGTCGCCGTCATCATGGACTGCTATGTTCAATCCACTGCTGGATAAATGGCCCTCCCCCAGCCACCGCCGCAGCCCTCGCCATCCTGCTGTGGAGCACCGATCCGCCTGCTTCGAGTTGAGGACGAAGAAGCGCTGCGTGAAGAAATGTGCGAACGAATCGCCCCACCGAGCGAATGCGTTGCAAAGTGCACAGCACGTGACAATGGCACACAACGCTGCGACACGCGACGTGGTCTCCTTCGTCGTCGTCGTCGTCACACGTTCTGATCTTGATGCAGCACAACAGTCCGGATTTCACACCGAGGTTGTGGATGAGCCGGATGATTGCGTCCGGAGTGGCGAGGTGGTGAATCTCGCGCTGTCACGATTCCTCCTTCGTATCGCTCTCCATCTGAGCCTACGGGTCTCTGTGCGAGTCTATGGGTCGGTATCTGAGTCTATAGATCTCTGTGTGAATCTGTGCCTCTCCATGTGAGTCTACGGGCGTCCATCTGACGAGGTGTCTGTGTGAGCCTTAAGGGAATCTGTGAGTCTATGGGTATTAGTGTAAAATCTGGATCTCCGTGTGAGCCTACGGGTCAGAGTATGGCGATTGATGTCTGTGTGAGTTTGTGCGTCTGTATGGGTCTAAAGGGTATCTGTGTGAGTCTGGGCTTCAGTGTGAATCTGTAGATCTGTGTGTGACCGACATTGAGGTGGTAAACAAGCCAAATAATTGCACCCGGAGGAGCGGAGCGAATGATTGCTGCTGTACGTATTCATATTGACACTTCTTTCGCACGGTACATAGCCAACCGCGCTAATCGGAGTTGCCGAATATAATGAATATGACAGTACCACAGCTGTGAGCGGTAGCGCTTAGTGAACTGACGATCAATAAGTACACGAGGACACTGCACGACCCCTTTGTGAAGCCACCGCGGGGATTGGGCGAATCCCCACGCCCGTGTGGTTCGTCGGGGTTGCTTCACCAGACTTCACCAGACTTCACCAGACTTCACCAGACTTTATACTTCACCAGACTTCACCAGACTTCACCAGACTTCACCAGACTTTATACTTCACCAGACTTCACCAGACTTCACCATACTTCACCAGACTTCACCAGACTTCACTTCATACTTCACCAGACTTCACCAGACTTCATACTTCACCAGACTTCACCAGACTTCACCAGACTTCATACTTCACCAGACTTCACCAGACTTCACCATACTTCACCAGACTTCATACTTCACCAGACTTCATACTTCACCAGACTTTATACTTCACCAGACTTCATACTTCACCAGACTTCACCAGACTTCATACTTCACCAGACTTCACCAGACTTCACCAGACTTTATACTTCACTAGACTTCATACTTCACCAGACTTCACCAGACTTCACCAGACTTCATACTTCACCAGACTTCACCATACTTCACCAGACTTCACCAGACTTCACCAGACTTCAGACTTCACCAGACTTCACCAGACTTCATACTTCACCATACTTCACCAGACTTCATACTTCACCATACTTCACCAGGCTTCACCAGACTTCACCAGGCTTCACCATACTTCACTAGACTTTATACTTCACCAGACTTCATACTTCACCATACTTCACCAGGCTTCACCAGACTTCACCAGGCTTCACCATACTTCACTAGACTTTATACTTCACCAGACTTCATACTTCACCAGACTTCACCAGACTTCATACTTCACCAGACTTTATACTTCACCAGACTTCATACTTCACCAGACTTCACCAGACTTCATACTTCACCAGACTTCATACTTCACCAGACTTCATACTTCACCAGACTTCACCATACTTTATACTTCACCAGACTTCACCAGACTTCACCATACTTCACCAGACTTCACCAGACTTCACACTTCATGCTTCACCAGACTTCACCATACTTTATACTTCACCAGACTTCACCAGACTTTATACTTCACTAGACTTCACCAGACTTCACCATACTTCACCAGACTTCACCAGACTTCAGACTTCATACTTCACCAGACTTCACCAGACTTTATACTTCACCAGACTTCACCATACTTCACCAGACTTCACCAGACTTCATACTTCACCAGACTTCACCAGACTTCATACTTCACCAGACTTCATACTCCACCAGACTTCACCAGACTTCATACTTCACCAGACTTCATACTTCACCAGACTTCACCATACTTCACCAGATTTCACCAGACTTCATACTTCACCAGACTTCACCAGACTTCATACTTCACCAGACTTCACCAGACTTCACCATACTTCACCAGACTTCACCAGACTTCAGACTTCACCAGACTTCATACTTCACCAGACTTCACCATACTTCAGACTTCACCAGACTTCACCAGACTTCACCAGACTTTATACTTCACTAGACTTCACCATACTTCACCAGACTTCACCAGACTTTATACTTCACCAGACTTTATACTTCACCAGAATTCACCAGACTTCACCAGACTTCATACTTCACCAGACTTCACCAGACTTCACCATACTTCACCAGACTTCACCAGACTTTACCAGACTTAATACTTCACCAGACTTCATACTTCACCAGACTTCACCAGACTTCATACTTCACCAGACTTCATACTTCACCAGACTTCACCAGACTTCACCAGACTTTATACTTCAACAGACTTCACCATACTTCACCAGACTTCACCAGACTTCATACTTCACCAGACTTCACCAGACTTCATACTTCACCAGACTTCACCAGACTTCACCATACTTCACCAGACTTCACCATACTTCACCATACTTCACCAGACTTCACCATACTTCACCATACTTCATACTTCACTAGACTTCACCAGACTTCACCATACTTCACCATACTTCACCATACTTCACTAGACTTCACCATACTTCACCAGACTTCACCAGACTTCACCAGACTTCATACTTCACCAGACTTCACCAGACTTCATACTTCACCAGACTTCACCAGACTTCACCATACTTTATACTTCACCAGACTTCACCATACTTCACCATACTTCACCAGACTTCACCATACTTCACCAGACTTCATACTTCACCAGACTTCACCAGACTTCACCATACTTCATACTTCACTAGACTTCACCATACTTCACCAGACTTCACCAGACTTCACCATACTTCACCATACTTCACTAGACTTCACCATACTTCACCATACTTCACCAGACTTCACCAGACTTCACTATACTTCATACTTCACTAGACTTCACCAGACTTCACCATACTTCAGACTTCACCAGACTTCACTAGACTTCACCAGACTTTATACTTCACTAGACTTCACCATACTTCACCAGACTTCACTAGACTTTATACTTCACCAGACTTCACCAGACTTCACCAGACTTCATACTTCACCAGACTTCACCAGACTTCATACTTCACCAGACTTCACCAGACTTCACCAGACTTCATACTTCACCAGACTTCACCAGACTTCATGCTTCTCCAGACTTCACCAGACTTCACCAGACTTCATACTTCACCAGACTTCACCAGACTTCATACTTCACCAGACTTCACCAGACTTCATACTTCACCAGACTTCACCAGACTTCATACTTCACCAGACTTCACCAGACTTCATACTTCACCAGACTTCACCAGACTTCATACTTCTCCAGACTTCACCAGACTTCACCAGACTTCATACTTCACCAGACTTCACCAGACTTCATACTTCACCAGACTTCACCAGACTTCATACTTCACCAGACTTCACCAGACTTCATACTTCACCAGACTTCACCAGACTTCATACTTC